TAACTAGAAATGGAAAACGTTATTTTATTACCTTTATTGATGATTGTTCGAATTATTATTTTGTCTATCTTATGAAAAATAAAAGTGAAGCTATTGACATGTTCAAAACTTTCTTGACTGAAGTTGAAAATCAATTTAATCGTAAGATTAAAAGATTTCGTAGTGATAGAGGACAAGAATATGAATCTACTGAATTTGTTAATTTGTTTAAGTCTCATGTAATTATTCATGAAACTACTACTCCTTATTCTCCTGAAATGAATGGTAAAGCAGAAAGAAAAAATCGAAATCTTTGTGAATTGATTGTTGCTACTTTACTTAGTTATGGAGTTGCTTCTTATTGGTGGGGTGAAATTGTGTTGACTGTTTGTTATGTGTTAAATAGAATCCCTAACTCAAAAACAAATATTTCTCTTTACGAAATTTGGAGAAATAAGAAACCAAATGTGTTGTATTTCAGAACTTGGGGTTGTTTAGCTTATGTTCGTAAACTTGATCCAAAAAGATTGAAATTGGCTAGTAGAGCATATGAATGTGTTTTTATTGGTTATGCATGTAATAGCAAAGCATATAGATTTTATGATTTGAAAAACCATGTCATAATTGAGTCACTTGATGCTGATTTTTATGAGAATAAATTTCCTTTTAATCTTCGAAATAGTGGGGGTTCTAATTCTTCTAAAATTTATGAACCTACTGCTGTAAAACATAGTCAATCTGCATTAGAACCTAGGAAAAGTAAAAGAGCTCGAATAGTCAAAGATTTTGGGCCTGATTTTCATGTATATAACTTACAAGAAGATCCTAATACAGTTCAAGAAGCCTTAACTTCTTTAGATGCAAATTTGTGGCAAGAAGTTATAAATGATGAAATGGACTCCCTGGAGTCAAATCAAACTTGGCACTTGGTGGATCTTCCACTTGGTTGGAAAACAATAGGTTGCAAATGGATTCTTAAAAGAAAATTAAAACTTGACGGTTCAGTTGAAAATTTTAAAGCCCAACTTGTTGCCAAAGGCTATAGACAAAGAGAAAATATAGATTTCTTTGATACTTATTCACCTGTGACTAGAATAACTTCTATTCGTGTATTGTTTGCTTTAGCTTCTATTCATGATCTTGTTGTGCACCAAATGGATGTTAAAACAGCTTTCTTAAATGGTGAATTAAAAGAAGAAATATATATGGATCAACTAGAGGGTTTTATTATTCCAGGACAAGAAAATAAAGTTTGTAAGTTTGATAACTCACTTTATGGATTGAAATAGGCTCCTAAACAATGGCATGCAAAATTTGATAGTTTGGTTACTTCGAATGGTTTTAAAATAAATGAAAGTGACAAATGCATCTATTATAAGTCTGAAAATAACATATGCACTATAAGATGCCTATATGTGGATGATTTGCTCAGTTTTGGTTCGAATATTCATGTTGTGAATAATGTCAAATCTTTGTTATGTGCTAATTTTGATATGAAAGACTTGGGTGAAGCTAGTGTAATACTTGGTTTGAAAAAAACTAGGTCCGAACATGGGTTTTCTTTAAATCAATCTCACTACCTAGAAATTTTTTTAAGAAAGTATAATTATTTTGATTGTAAACCAGCATGTACTCCTTATGATCCTAGTGTAAAATTGTTCAAGAACACTGGTGACAATGTTAAACAATCTGAGTATGCGAGCATTATTGGTAGTCGTCGTTATGTTACTGATTACACTAGGCTTGATATATCTTATGTTGTAGGAGTTTTATTTAGGTTTACTAGCAGACCCAGTTTTGGAGCATTGGCATGCTATAGAGAGGCTTATGAGATACCTTAAAGGGACGATAAATTTCAGATTACACTATGAGAAGTTTCCTGCTATCCTAGAAGGTTACAGGGACGCTGATTGGAATACCCTTTCAGATGACTCTAAAGCCACTAGTGGATATATTTTTAGTATTGGTGGCGGGGTTGTGTCATGGAAGTCGAAGAAATAGACTATCTTGGCTCTGTCTACTATGGAATCAGAATTAATAGTGCTAGCTACGGCAAGCGAAGAAGTAGGTTGGTTGAGAAACCTACTGGCAGATACCCTTTTATAGGATAAACCGATTCCAGCAGTTTTGATCTATTGTGATAGCACATCGGCAATAGTTAAAATGCAAAACCGTTATTATAATGGGAAAAGGCGACAAATACGCCGTAAGCATAGCACTGTAAAAGATTACCTCTCTAAATGAGCTATAAGAGTGGATCATATACGGTCTGAAGAAAACTTAGCTGATCCTTTGACGAAAGGACTAGCACAAGAAAAGATTTGGAAAACCTCGAAAGGGATGGGACTAAAGCCCTTAGAAAATTAAGTCATTTGTGATAGCAACCCAACGTATAGATTGGAGATCCCAAGAAATAGGTTCAAAGGGTAATAACAAGTCACAAGTGATATAAGTGAAGTCTTACTAATTTTAATTTGGAATATTATTCCATGTCCATCCCTAAGAAGCATGACATGCTGAAGTGTTTTTAGGTTGAGATTTTTTTTTTCTCTTAGTAAGATCTATACTCTATATTGAGTGGGATATCTAGTTGTAGGAATATCCTTGATAGTCTTACCTATGTGAATGTGGAGGTGAGACCGCTTCCTATGAAATCTTGGGCAAGTTTCTAGAGCGTTCACTATATTGGGATACAAGCACACGGCCGTAATGTGTTGGCTTTTTAAACTTCACCTTAATAAAGTTATGTGTGTGGTGTTGTCAGAGATAGAGTTCAAAACTATAAGTTACTCTAGTATAATCTGGATCACTAACACTATGTACAGGTTCAAGTTGAGAAACACCTTTACTTATGCATAGCTTTATGATATGTTGCTTGATATATATTTTTTAAATAAAAACAAGTGAGGGATTGTTGGATTAAATATGTTTTTATTTAAATATTTTGAATATATTTATGTTTTGTTTTATTACAAACATTGAATAAAAAACGTAAATTGTTATTAACCTTATAAATTGTTATTAACTTTATTATATGATGCTGATCATTAAATCACTAGAAACGTGAGAAAGCTTCTCGCCTTAAAGATGGGATTCCTTCTCTGAATAGAGAAGAAGATCAAGTCTATTTACATAATTTTTTTATTTCGTTGTGATTTGGATGTTTTGATTTTGTCCGTTTTATTTTCTTCTGCATTGATTCCTTGCGTTTTTCTTTCCCCTAAATCATTTAACCCCACAATGTCTATTTCGTCCCCTTTTATATATTGATCCCCTGTACGAAGGAAGAAAAAGGGAAAAACAATAGCGTATGTGTTTGTCTTAAAATTGGGTTCTAAAGCAACATATAGAAAGGGTGTGAGTTCGAAGGTTCTTCCACTATGCAAGGAATAACCTTATCAGAAGAAGGTTCTGGGCTGTTTTATCTTGGGGATGACGTGGTGTTTGTGAACTACTTGCACACTTTGGGCAGAGCCGCGAAATGTCTTAAAGAGAGGTACTTAGTCCGCGACTCATCCCAAGAATCAATCACCACTCAAGGCTTCTACATTTTTCGGGTAACTTCGTTCCTTTCTATTTCAGTTTACAACAAATAATTACAACATAAGTGAATATGTAACAACCTAAGATAAGGTTGTTGAGTACTACGCTAACAAGGTGGATGGCAATTGTTGCTTCAACTTTGGCTATGAGAATTACATTGCTCCCTATTCTTATGCGGCAAATTAAGTTGATAAGGATTGTGCAGTTACTTCCCAAATGTAAGTTCTAAACTTTGACTTGATTACTTCATTGAACTGTTTTGTAGCTTTACTTTTGCAATTATATTTTGCAGATCGAATGCTAGAGTTTGGTTTAACCAGAAACAATATTCATCTCATCTGGATATTTAATAAAATGTCTTTTAAATATTTGTAGTGCGGTTCAGATTCGGTGTGGTTTTCAAAAGTCAAAATCGAAACCAAACCGTTTTCTTACACTGCGGTTCGGTTTCAAACTGAAACCATTTCAAAACTGCTAAACTAAACCGTTTTCTTACACTGTGGTTCGGTTTCAAACCGAAACAGTTTCAAAACCGCAAAACCAAACCGTTCGGTGCGGTTTGATTTGGTTCCAAGTGCCCACCCCTACTTAATAATTACTTAGAGCTTGTTTAGTACTCCATTTGAATCCAACATTTTAGACTCAAAATCACTTTTTAAGTTTTACACCTTGAATACTTGTTTGGTTGGACTGTTTTAAAAAATTGAACTCAAAACTAACTTCAAAATTAGCCAACTTCTTGAAAACACAAAAAAGTGAGTTTTTAAACTGTCTAAACCACTACTTTCTCTCTCTTCTCAGATCCTTCTCTACTAGCTCTCTATTTCTATCCTGTCTCTCTTCCCTTCCTTATCCTCTCTCTCCTCTTTCTCTCTCATCTCCCACTCCTCATCCTCATCCGGCCTTTCTTTGGATCTCTTTGTCTGTCCAATTGAATTAGGTAGTAATTTCAAAATCCACAAGAAATTATTGTAGGGTATTTTTTTCTTTTCTTTTTAATATTAAAATTTGAAGACGACTTTAAATCTCATACAGAACAAGTTTCTGGATCTTAAAAAAATTTATTTTTGAAAGATATTCTTAAAAAATGTTCTAAAAAATTCTGAATTTTTTTTAATACGATACCAAATAGGCCCTTAATTTTCAATTTTAATTTCTAGTTTTCACATTCTTGAAAGTTGAATACAAAACATAGAAAATTACTTTCAAAATTTAACTTCGAGTTTTCATTCTTTTTATTTTTGATTTTATTTTTTTGAAAACTAAAACTAAAAATAGTTATCAAATAAGATTTTTATTTTCAATTTAGCTTAAATAAAGATTCAAATTTAGAACGTCTTCTTGTGCTCATCTTCGGTAATGAGTAGCTAATGCTCGGAATACCAAGAGAAATTAATTCTATATAATTATTCGACAAAATTAGTCACCACGCATTACTCCATGCAGAAAACTTCACCACTCTCAGCCATATGTTCATCTACATGACAAGCTTCCGCCTTTTATTGAAAGAGTCCCAACATACATACATACATCGGGTGGACAGATGACATGATACTAGTGGGTTGCAGTCATGGGCTGGTGTTGGTGGTGGGCCATATGCATATGGGTATTATGGCGCGTGGCAACAAGCGGTTGGTGGCCATGATGAGCATGGGATTGCTTGGAGCCGATGAGTTTCTTCTCAGCATGCCTGGCTTTGGCTTTGCGCAGCTCCATCTTTGCTCTCGCCTCCTTCACTTTCCTACGCTCTTTTGCCATCTTTTTCTGTTCCTTGGTCCTCGCCGCTGCTGCCTGTATCTGAGTTTTAACTTTCTGTTAGTTTCATATCAAATCTCAAACATATCTACAATATGACTATAGAAAGTACTCTTAACACTTATTAATAGAGTACACTTCCGCGACTATTAACCGTTTGATAACTATGTCATTTAAAAACTAAAAAATAAAATCTTGTACGATGGCTATTTTTAGTTAAAAAAAAAAATGAAAAATCCACAATGACTTTTATTAAAAAAAAAAAAAAAAAAGCGATATTTTGAGCACTCCGGGAAGTAGACTAAGCCTCACAATAGGCTAACACATTATTCAAATTCACCTTTTGGCGAGAATCGAACATCTCAGTTACAAGTGAATAAAAATATCACTAGACCATAGTACTAAGTAGTAAAATCCACAATGACTTATATGAGTTTTCAAAATTTGATTAACCGAGATCTTTATCCGCCTAATTGTAATTTGATGGACTTCTTCTACTTTTTTGGTTTTCAATTTTATTTTAAAAACAAACTGAAAATTATAATTTATTACTAAACAAGATTTTAATTTTAATTTGTAAATAAAAAATAAAAAAATAAAAAATTGATTGAAAACGGAAAAGTGATCGAACTGCCCCTTAGAGTGCTAACAGGAATCGTGATAGAAAAATACAACTTCACTTGGAGGGTAAAAATATAAGGAGAGTAGATATAATTTACCTTTTCTTCAACTTTGGCTTTGTAAATATTTACGTGTTCCTTGGCTGAGCTGGCCATGTTGCTCAACTTCTCCTTTGCATACTGCATTTTTCCTGAATTTGTCTTACACAGCAGTTAACCAAACTCAAAAAACGACTCTCTATACGCGGACTAGAATTTGTAGGGAGAAAGAAAATTAAACAAGGGGATCTAACGTGGATATAATTAAGAAGCTAAAACCTCTGCAGTCTCCAATACGGCAGTTGGATTTTATATATATATGTACACGTTCCAGGGCAAGAAGGAAAGGACCGTATCTCTAATCTTCAAAGAACCTGCGATAGGACGCCACGATAACCAACGCATGGCAACCATGCAGGGCCCCTTACGTTGACACCCTGCTACTGTGACACTTGCGAAGCAACATATTTGGACATTATCAACGAATATATTTGCTACGGTAATGTTAGGAATTTGTACATTAAATATTAAAAATTAAATGATAAGAAAATTGATAATTAGATTATTATTTAAGTATTGATTAACGTGCTTATTTTTTATTAGTGGCATATCATTTAGTTTATAAATTTAATTTACCTAGCACTATTCTACTTGATAACAGGGAAAATGTTAGGGATTCCACACACACACATGTAGCATCTTCTTACATGATAAAATATGTATAATCTAATAAATGTATTGATCGACGTACACATCACTTATTACAGTAGAATAGATTGTATACTATTATGAGTTCAAATATATGATTTTCCTGGCACAGATTGACTAAACGATATTGTGGTGTGGAAGAATTCATGTTTTACAATAGTAATACTCTAATATCCTAATAGTTCCGAACTGATGAAAACCTCAGTTGAGCTTATTGGAACTATCACTAACCTAACAACTAGCACTAGTACAAAAAACACTTTGCGTGATACAAGTCATTTGTCGCGCAAATTAAAAAAATGTCGCTAAAAAATTAGCCCAACAAACCTTCATCATACACCAACCGTTGCGCCAAGGCAGTGACATCAAGGTTTGTGCGACGAAGAAGTAACATGTGCGACACAGGTCCTTATGTCACGCAAAACTAGTTTGCCCGACACACCTACGTCCCGCAAAGTAGCTTTGCATGACGCATGTCCCTACGTTGCGCAAAACTACTTTGCGCGACGCAGGTGCACCTACGTCGCGCAAAGTTGGGAAAAAAGCAGTAAAACATTCTTGGTTTGGCGCCAAAATCTTGCGTGATGCACAGAACATAACACAAAAGCTGTTTTGCACTACGCCAATCTTCGTTACGCCAAGTGCCGTTGTGCAAAGGCCATTTGAGTGACGTTTTGTGTTTTGCATCACGCAAATATACTTTTCGCAACGAAATTTGTTGCATCGCTCAAACATGTTTTTGTACTAGTGTAGGATTTGAGTCATGAACTCTCTTGATTTGTTAATCAAACTAATCGATTGAAATTGTTGTTGTACAACTGGCCAACGTCTAGAATTGAGAATTTTATTATTCTTTTAAACAAATATCGATGAGTTAAACCAATCAATTAAGACAGTCAGATACATCCCTCAAATTGGATAATATTTAGGTACTCACAAGTGCGTGTATTTTATATATTAATTTGTTAGATTTGGCCCAATTATATTTTAACACATGCTTTATTGTTTTACAGAATAGTGCATATGTTATTTAACTTTTCTTAGACTTTTGAAAACAAGAAACACGTGTTATCTTTTGAGTGCGCCAAATCAGAAAGTGAGCGCATATGGTACTCACTAGTGTGTACCTAAGTATTATCTCCTAACTTTGGCTAATCTTACTTATGCCTAGAAATGTAAGTTTAGAACTTCTAAGAAAAATTAAGTTTTGAAGTACGAAATTGGTTGGACTTTAGGTTAACGTAAAGTGTGGTGTAGAGATCTTTGTAAGAGTGCTCTGGTCAAAGATGGATAGACGAAGTAGCCTGCAAGGAATAGAGAGTAAGTATCGAGAGGCACCAATATGGTACCAGCCTAAGAGCCTCCAATGCTTAAGTTAGCAAGTTATGTTGACGATGCCACATAGGTATGTTTAATGGTAATATGATGTTGAATAATAAATGTGATTTTTGAATGGTGTAGAAATTACCCTTTTGTAAAGGTGAAGTTGGAGGAGAATTATCGGCTTAGGCCAATAGGGTTGGAATGCATTGGATGTGGTGTTGCCACTTGTCATGTTTTGACTGGCCTCCAATTTGGAGGGAATTCTCCTATTAGTTATGGGAATAGCCATGTGTTGTCACTACCACGTTTAACATTTAGCGCGATGAACAGAAATTGGTCACGTAAAACTTAAAAGCGTCGCACAAACGTATGTGCGACAAAAACTTGATCATGCACAATCCGTCGTGCAAAGATCGTGAAGAAAGACTTTGTGCGACGAATAAAGCATTGGTTGCGGTAAATAAGGTGTGACGGTTCCTCATTCGTCGCACCAAATTTTTAGGAATTAATATGTTTGTCGCACAAAATGTCAGGATACAAACCTGGGACGATTAATATTCGTCTCTAAAAATTTTGCGCGACGAAAGTTAGTTATCGCAAAAAAGTATGCATGATGAAACTATTCATAGCGCAAAAAAAAAAAAAAAATCTTTTTTGTTATGGGTTTAATTTTGTTATAAAATAATAAAATAAAATTGAAATAAAAAAATGTAAAGAAGAGAAAAACAATTTATTTGAAAATAAAAATAAAATGTATGTACAAGGAAAAAAGTTTTAAAAGTAAACAACTAAGAAAAAAAGGTGGAATAGTCAACGGGATCGCCGTTCGCATGCGGCTGGAAAGATTAGGGCAAGAAGGGCTCGAGGTCAAGGATAGGCTCAGAGGTCAAAGGGGTGGAGTTCTGGGCATGCTCGGGTTGGAGGTAGGGGTGGGCAAACGGGTACAAGAACCACGGGTCGAGGCGGGTAATCAAGGTTCGGGGCGGGTACGATATCACATCCCGACCCGGGCCCCCACCACATCCCGGGCTTGACTCCATCGTAGCACAAGACAACACGTTACTATTTGTGGAACGGCATTCTCATCCAAAGATCCTACACAGGACCACATCTATGCTGCCTAGCGCCTCCTGATGACTAAAGGTTCTAAGCTCAATCAATGAAGGCATTTGTGGAAATCACTCCTGAGGCCAATCCTTAATACAAAAGGTTCTAAACGCAGGCTATTACTGGCCTACCATGCACCAAGACGTTAAGGACTTAGTGTAAAAGTGCGATCGCTGCCAACGCTACAAGCCGGTACCAGCACTGCTTGCTAGTGAGTTATACCCATAAACAAGTTCTTGCATGCAGTGGGCAATCGACTTGGTAGAGCCAATGCCGCCCGCTACTGGGGGCAAATGCATGATGATTGTGGCAACCGATTACTTCACCAAACGGGTAAAAGCAAAGCCCATGACAACCATGACTCATATGGACATATAGCGCTTCATATGGAGGAACATCATTTGCTAATTTGGCATCCCTCAATCCATCATCACCAACAATGGCCCGCAATTCGTGGGCAAAGATTTGGCGAAGTTCTTCCAAAAATATGGCATCAACCAGCACATGTCCATTCTAAGATATCCTCAAAGCAATGGGCGGACCGAAGCATCCAACAAATTGATTCTCAACTGTGTCAAGAAATCATTCACCAACAACAAGGGAAAATGACCAGACGAACTCCCCAGATGTCTATGGGCATATCACACGACCAAAAGACGAGTAACTGGTGAGACTTATTTTTCTTTGGCATTTGGCTTAGAAGCAATCATTCATCCTAATGTCATCAAGCCAAGTATCACCGCTTTACTACTAAGCATTGAGCAGAACAGTAAGGAGATGGCCACAAACTTAGCTCTAGCAGAAGAGAAGCGTGAGTAGACCATTACCCGCATCACAGCCTACTAGCAGCAACTCCTCTCCAACTACAACAAAAGGGCTAAGATTCGGCAGTTTCAACCTGAAGATCTAGTACTAAGAAAAGACTTTATCACTGCCCGCAGAGAAGGTTCCAAAAAGATAGATCCCATCTGGGAAAGTCCGTACAAGATCAGCAGAGTAGGCGGCAAGAGTAATTACACCCTTGCCACCATGAAACTACAAAAAGATCAAAGAGCAGTGGAACGCCTATAATCTAAGGAAGTACCTATGACCTTGTGCTACATCAAAGCCCGAAGACTCAAGCAGTTTGACGGGCATCACCTCACAAACCGAGGACTATCTAGTTATTACGCAGTTCTTACCTTACAACTAAGTTCTCGTTCGTTTCACTTATTTTTCAATGAGGAATTCAAAAGTAATCTATAACTTGGCTCGGCTGCATGCTTACAACAACTAATCACTCCTGCACTTCAAAAGAAGATCGCGCCCTTCTTAAGGACTCATTATAGAAATTGCACCCCCGGAATGACCAACCATGCTTTCTAGTGCGAGAGGGTAAACCAATTCCCTGACACCCACATGGGTCAACTCTCCAAGACGAGAGGTTAAACTCTACACTCCGAATATCCACACGTGGATGTGTCAAGCTGCCCTAGTATAACTAGATGGACGATGGCTTGTGTCGGGATTCCTAAAAGTAGCCACAATGGTCTTTTTCAAGGTTTAGCTAACTGAAGGATTTTGGGTTTCTTGGCCTAATCTGTGGGGAATTGGGCCTTAGAGACGGAGGGGGCACATTACGCAGTACATCTGATGGACGGCTGCCCTGGAACCCTAAAGTTGCTACCGAGTGCACTAAGGTAGCCTACGATTTGCTAAAGACTGCCTACAACTTGCCCTTCGAGCAGTGAAGCCACTCTAGACTTATACAACCGCACATTCTTATGAAAGGTTAAATAAGTTAGCGTGCATATACGAAGCTTTATTCATTACCGACATGCTGACATACATCAAGTCCTAAAGTGTTATGATACTTGTTATGTAACCTAGGGAATTGGAGAAAGCCAAGGTTAACAACCTAATGGTCACACGAAATTGTTTACTTTTGTAAGTAAGGCGTCCAGCTGCTGACCCTATGGCTAACAACTTTGCAAAGGTCTACAAAAAAAACTATGACTACATCGGCTACGCAGGCCTATCTGCTTATAGAAAAGTAGCATGCCTGCCATTGGTCTACAAAGTTTAAAGGTTAAGGCATGAACAAAAGAAGCGAATATGGAGAAAAGCAAAGGAAACAAGTTTATTAAATTTTCTAGCAAAATTGATAAACGACTAGCCAAGCTG